GCTCCATAAAATATTTAACTGATTCACTTCCTGTAAAGCAAAGCACTCATGATTTCTGTGTTCAGATCTGAACATGAAACATTTACTATTAGTGAGATACTGTGCAAGATACTGGGTGGTATAAAATACAAAATCTATAATTCTGCTTTAACTATTACACATCATTCTGCTGAGATACTAAAAGTTTGCCTTTTTCCCCCACTAAACTGAGATCCATAGAGTGAGGATTGTTAATGAAATTATCCACTTCTTTACCAATTCTTTGTGTTAATTTCATCAAAATTCATTAGAAAAAAGTAGTAGTGCTAGTAATGGTTTGGATGTGCCAAAATGCTTCAGGCAGTTCTTTCTTCTAGGCACTAGCAAGTCTCCTTCCTCCTTAACCAGAGATACAGTCTAGCAAAACACTTCAATCCTTAAATCCACCCTGCTCAATGGAACGCTTAAATCTAAGCTGAAATCTCTCTGGGCTCAAATTGGATTTAAGCATGTCCTTAAAATGAGGTATGCTACACAAGCACATTGCTCAACTGTACTTCTCAGCACTGGAATATAGCAGTTTTACTAAACTACCATTCCTGAGGCACCAGCAATTATGGCTTAGACTGTAGATGGAGCAGAGCACGGAGCAGAGCCTAAAATGTTTGCAGGAAGGTTTATACTTTCCTGACCTACCCCAAACTCACCATGGCAAACAGTGAAATGATATGGAATCAGATTCCATGTCTATAGAATTGGACAGGACTGATGGCCAGGTAAAACTGAGCATCTTGTGAACCACTTGCAACTCCAAGATGTGTGCAGAGATGGAGGGTTTGATGATGGTCATTATCTCTGATACACTCACAGAAAATTGGGGAATTTGTTTGCAACTGTATTTCTCATCAGTGAAGATTCCCTTGGGGTTTTGGCCCAGTCTCAATTGCTGTCAGAGATGTGTGACTCACTAAAGCCTGCTCAGTACCATGTCTTGCATTCCTGTCTGGGTGGAAACATACCTGCAGAGTGGGGAATGACAAAGCTCAGCCCCACTGCTGTTTCTAGATTCCTTCTAGCAGGCAGCACACACGTGTATCCCTCAACCAGAAACAAGAACCCTGTTTGGAAATTAATTCAGACTTGCAGGATGAGTCCTTTCTCTCCTGTCTGCCTAGTATCCATGCTGGTGTTTCCTCATTCCTTCCCCAGTGCCACAGGAATGCTATTGCTGTGAGCTCAGGTTTTGCATGTGCTTCCAAGAATATCCTTTGGGAGACTGAGGGGTCAAGTGTGACACTGCATGTCTTGGTGGAAACTGGCGTCCTCCTGGCGGGGTGGGTGAAAAGTGCTGTGGTTTGGGGCAGAGGAGTCTCCAGCTGATCTAACACTAATTGTATCTGATCTTTGTCTGTAAATTAGGTGGCAGCTCTCCCAAAAACAAATGCTTAGTGTGTTTTCCAGCCTCTTTGGCTTTTACCCACAGAAGAATTAGTTCACCAGGTGAGCGACTTTCCTGTTGTTCTGGAATTGTTGCTAGTGAGGGAGTATGTCAGTTCCCCACAGCTTCATCTGATTAAGAGCTGACTTGCAGCAGAAGTGACTTGGGTTAGAGATAAAGCAAACATGTCCATGTGTGAAGCTCTGGAATTGGTCCTCTATATATTCTTATGAGCAAGGTAGGTGAATCCCTGTCAGGTACAGTTTAGTTTAGTTTAGTTTAGTTTAGTTTAGTTTGTGCTGCTCCTGCTTTATGGCCTGAGAGATGGAATTCCTCGGGCTTCCTAAGGGCTCTTTACATCCTGAGTTTTTTGTTTTATGATTTTTTGCATATGAAATCTCATGGAAAAGGAGAGACCCAAACTCTGAAAAGCAAGGTTTCACTTGCTGACTTCTGGAAACTGCACAGAATGGGGTCTGACAGGAGGTCATGGCATGTCATTCCCCATTCTAAACCTTGTACTGTGGGTTTCTAAGGGCTCCTCCAGACATGGGAAGGTGAACTGACTGGTCTAAAGTCACAATACAGGGAAAGTAGGAACAGAAGCCAAGTTTCCAATCTTCTAGTCATGCACCTTAAACACTAAAAAACTTAATTTCCTTGAATTAATACTGGCCCAGGCTGACTTCTGTATTCATGCCTCCTGACTGGCCTATGCAATGTCAGGCATTTCAGTCTTTTGCTGTTTAATTCATTTTGCTGCTCTGGTGCAGGGTGCAGTAGATATTACCAAAGGAATGATTGTATGTTTGCCAGTATTTTTGATTCTTTCCAGGCAAAGAGCAGATTTTCACAGCCAGGCTCAACACCTTGAATTTTCTACTTTCATTTCCAAAGTGTATGATATTGGTCATGATAGGAAACAGAAAAAAAACTCCAGAAAATTCATGCTGTGTTTGACAAGGTGGTGACCATTCTGGGCAGCACGTTACAAGCGTAATGGACTGCAAATCAAACTTCTGCTCCTGTGCTGCAGAGGATTAGTCACAGTTCATCTACCAGCAAAATGGAGGTAGTAGTAGTTACTATCTCAAACTCTGGAGGCTCAAAGCTTAAAACTTTTGGGATCATTTTAAGGAGGCTGCTATGGATGGGCACAATATTCTATCTTCTGTTAACAGCACTGGAAAATTTCATAAGCTTCATGGATAAAGAAGCAATAATTGTTGGCTACGGGACCAGGAAAATATTTGACCACTGGTTTTGTCTGAAATACTAAATGGAGAACACTTGTCTCTCATCTCAGGCCAAAGGGGCTTTTTTAACATTCATATACTTGCCCTAGGTACCAGTTTACACAACACAAGGGCTGTTTCAGCTCTGCAAGAAAACTTGAAGAAAAAAAGAACTAGAACAGGCAACAGTTCCTGTGTGTATCTGTCATTGAGAGCTCCACCATGGTGAAGTTGACAGACATGGGTGCCAAGAAACCCCTTGGGATGACCACCTGCTCCTGGTGGGAGAAAATCCCAATTGCGAGTTGTCCTGCAATGCAGGAGCATGACCTCACAGCCCAGTACTCAGCTGGAAGGAGAGAGGTGAACTGTAGGTTCTGCAGGAGAGGACTGAACCTGGGTGTGCAGGGCCTCAGGCAAAGGCTTTGGCTGCTCAGTTGAGCTGGTGCTAGAGTCTCTTCCATCTGGAAATCAGCCGTGCCCGTGTCTTTCACAAGAGCAGGAACGACACAGTGTTCACAGAGCACTGCTGGCTCTCTAGGTAACACCTAAGGCATGGGGCCCTGGTGACTCATGCACCATTCAGCTTTGGTTTAGGATCTCAGCGGGGTTTAAACACCAGGTAGGCGGCTGGGACAAGGATGGGGTATTTCTAGTCATAGTCCTAATGCCTAGAAAACACCTGCAGCCGTCACTGCTCATGCAGCTTTAGCTGAGTGCTTCTAAGGAGATGATCTGGCCCTGGCAGGCCTCTCTGTTCCTGGGGGAAATTTAACACCCCTGGTACACAGGGCCAGCACAGGACACCAAATCAACCCTAGATGAGAGGTTCACACTGCTGGCTAAATGTAAGAAATGCCATGCTTTCCCTTCTGAGGGCTCTGCCAGGCAGGGGTGAAATCTCAAGGGGTCTCTGATTGGGAAGTACAGTGGTTTTGGCAGGCAAGGAAGGTGGAGCGAGGCTGAATCACAATTCTCTGCTACAGCTTAAATCTTTTAGGCACTTACTGTCCTTTTTTTTGTGTCCAAGTGAGCAATCTTGCCCTCCTGGGGCTGCCAAGCACTGACTGTGGACATTAAAGCTGGTAATGGGATAAGATGCAAACATCTTCTGAAAGCACACACCAGAGCCCTTTATTTTAAAAATGAAATACATTTGAAGTGCCTACAAACTCACCCAGAAATCTCTTTCCAAATGAATAAGGCTTGGAAATGCTCCCTGCCGCAGCCTGAACACAATGTAACCCTTCTATCTTCCAGTTCTCTTCAGGGCAGGCGCAGATACCGAACAGCTACTTAAAGGGTAACATTCAATTATAAAAACAATCACACTCAAAATCCCAATTTATTTTAACTGCAGTCGTTAGAAATAGCCACAAAACAATCAAACAGAAAGCAACCAGAAAATAGTTTCCCTTCCCCCTCTCCTTAGTATTTGCGACAAGTCTTGTTTTGAATTTGTGAACAAGCAACAAAGCAACTCTTTTGGAACTCCCTCCACCTTTCACCTCCTCTCACCTTGCTCTTTGCCCCAGCTGGGGAGCAACAGATTAAAAGCTGGTTGGAGAAGCACCCAGAGAACCAAAAGGAGCCCTGGACAAAAGTTCCCTGTGAAAAGTTAGATCCTGCAAGGCACAGGGTGCATTTCTGGGCCTAAAGCTGCCCTGGCTGCGGGATGCAGAGCAGGAAGGCGATGCTCACAGGTTCGGGGCCGCCTCCAGCCCCGTTCCCTCCCGCCCAGGTACCGGAGCCGCTGCCGCCCGCCCCCCCCCAGCCGCGGCTGAGCGCAGCCCCCTCCCGCCGTGCGGCCGTCCCGGCCCCGGCCCCAGCCCTTACATGGACAAATCTGCCTGCAGGGAAAGGCAGGAATTTGGGCCCTTGACGTCAGCCGCGGGCAGAGCTCGACAGCCCGGCAGAGCGGGAGGCAGCGGCCGCCGCTTTCGCTTTTTGTTTCGGGGCCGTCCCGCCGAGCTCGGGGCCGCCGGCCGCCCCTCCCTGCGCCCCCGGGGAGGTAAGGGCCGGGAGGGGCGCGGCCGGAGGGATGCGGGAGCGGCGCGGCCGGGGGGATACGGAGCGGCTGAGGGACCGGAGGGAAGGAGGGAGGGAAGGAGGGAGGGGTGTGCGGGGCGGAGCGCGGGAGGGGCCGGCCGGGGGCCGCGGCGGGAGCGACCGGGGGCACCCGAGCCGGGAGGGCGGGAGGGGCCGGCCGGGGGCCGCGGCGGGGCAGCGGCGCGGGGCGCGGAAGGGGCCGCCGGGCGGAAGGAAGGGGCCGGCGGTGGGGCCGGGGCCGGGCGGTGCGGGGCGGTCCCGGTGCCGCCCCCGGCCCGCCCCCCGCCGCCTCCTCCCGCCGCCGCCGCCGCGCTCGCCTCCGCTGCCTCCTCCCCCGAGGTATTGTTGCAGATAATAACTTGCCCCCTTCCTCCCCCCACCCCCGTCCGCCCGCCGAGGCAGCTGTGCCACAGCTGGAGCCCCCGGCCGGGGCGGGGAGCGCTGCCGGCCGCCCGGGGGGGCCGCCCTGGCTCCTCCCTCCGCCCGGGGCGCCGCGGCCGCCGGAGGGGCCGGCCCGGTGCGGCGAGGGCTCGGCCGCGGGGCGGGGGCAGCGCCGGGACCGGGGCAGGGGGAGCTCCCCCGGTGCTCGGGCGGCCCC